CGGTCTCCCTCATGCCCAAACTCTTGTGGGATCCTGCGCCTGGCAGTCGGCGTGGTTGCCCCACACTCGCCGACAAAAAAGGTGGGTCGTCTGTAAACGTAGGCACCAGCACGCTCGCAGATGGCGGGTGAGCTGTGGGTGGCGGGTGAGCAGGGGTAGGAAGGCTAGGAAGCAAGCAGCGGCGCGAGGGGCGGTAAAAAGTGTTTGTTCGTAAAAAGTGTTGTGTGCCGTAAAAAGTGGACACTGGGGGTATCGATCCCCCTACCTCCCGCATGCGAAGCGGGCGCTCTACCATTTGAGCTAAGCGCCCAGACACAAACCCAAACCGCAACGCAATCGACGCGCTCAGACCAACACACACACACACACGCACACGCCAACTCGCCACAAAACACACCAAACAAAACCACACACAACCGCCTCACAGCGCCATCCCTCCACACATCGCCAAGCAAGCCTCCGCACCCATTACAACGATCGTCCTCTCCACCAGCACATTAGCACCCGTGAGGCGCCAGCATCCACGCCTTGTCGATTCTCCGCGCTCCGCCATGGTCCACTGCCTCACATACCCGAAGCCTCGAACCGCCAGGCCGGGAGCCACCCGCCTCCGAAAACAAAAATGTCAAGCAGCTGGCTGACTCGAACCCTACTCGTCCGACCGGCCAGTGGCCCGGACAGAGGTGACACACAGCACAGAGCACAGAGCACACAGCACACAGCTGGGCGTTTGGTCTGTGGCGCTGACCAGGCTCTCGGTGAGCTGTTTAGCCGGTCTCCCTCATGCCCAAACTCTTGTGGGATCCTGCGCCTGGCAGTCGGCGTGGTTGCCCCACACTCGCCGACAAAAAAGGTGGGTCGTCTGTAAACGTAGGCACCAGCACGCTCGCAGATGGCGGGTGAGCTGTGGGTGGCGGGTGAGCAGGGGTAGGAAGGCTAGGAAGCAAGCAGCGGCGCGAGGGGCGGTAAAAAGTGTTTGTTCGTAAAAAGTGTTGTGTGCCGTAAAAAGTGGACACTGGGGGTATCGATCCCCCTACCTCCCGCATGCGAAGCGGGCGCTCTACCATTTGAGCTAAGCGCCCAGACACAAACCCAAACCGCAACGCAATCGACGCGCTCAGACCAACACACACACACACACACACACACACACGCACACGCCAACTCGCCACAAAACACACCAAACAAAACCACACACAACCGCCTCACAGCGCCATCCCTCCACACACCGCCAAGCAAGCCTCCGCACCCATTACAACGATCGTCCTCTCCACCAGCACATTAGCACCCGTGAGGCGCCAGCATCCACGCCTTGTCGATTCTCCGCGCTCCGCCATGGTCCACTGCCTCACATACCCGAAGCCTCGAACCGCCAGGCCGGGAGCCACCCGCCTCCGAAAACAAAAATGTCAAGCAGCTGGCTGACTCGAACCCTACTCGTCCGACCGGCCAGTGGCCCGGACAGAGGTGACACACAGCACAGAGCACACAGCACACAGCACACAGCTGGGCGTTTGGTCTGTGGCGCTGACCAGGCTCTCGGTGAGCTGTTTAGCCGGTCTCCCTCATGCCCAAACTCTTGTGGGATCCTGCGCCTGGCAGTCGGCGTGGTTGCCCCACACTCGCCGACAAAAAAGGTGGGTCGTCTGTAAACGTAGGCACCAGCACGCTCGCAGATGGCGGGTGAGCTGTGGGTGGCGGGTGAGCAGGGGTAGGAAGGCTAGGAAGCAAGCAGCGGCGCGAGGGGCGGTAAAAAGTGTTTGTTCGTAAAAAGTGTTGTGTGCCGTAAAAAGTGGACACTGGGGGTATCGATCCCCCTACCTCCCGCATGCGAAGCGGGCGCTCTACCATTTGAGCTAAGCGCCCAGACACAAACCCAAACCGCAACGCAATCGACGCGCTCAGACCAACACACACACACACACACACGCACACGCCAACTCGCCACAAAACACACCAAACAAAACCACATCACAGCGCCATCCCTCCACACATCGCCAAGCAAGCCTCTGCACCCATTACAACGATCGTCCTCTCCACCAGCACATTAGCACCCGTGAGGCGCCAGCATCCACGCCTTGTCGATTCTCCGCGCTCCGCCATGGTCCACTGCCTCACATACCCGAAGCCTCGAACCGCCAGGCCGGGAGCCACCCGCCTCCGAAAACCGGTCAGCGCCACAGACCAAACGCCCAGCTGTGTACTGTGTACTCTGTGCTATGTGTCACCTCTGTCCAGGCCACTGGCCGGTCGGACGAGTAGGGTTCGAGTCAGCCAGCTGCTTGACATTTTTGTTTTCGGAGGCGGGTGGCTCCCGGCCTGGCGGTTCGAGGCTTCGGGTATGTGAGGCAGTGGACCATGGCGGAGCGCGGAGAATCGACAAGGCGTGGATGCTGGCGCCTCACGGGTGCTAATGTGCTGGTGGAGAGGACGATCGTTGTAATGGGTGCAGAGGCTTGCTTGGCGATGTGTGGAGGGATGGCGCTGTGAAGCGGTTGTGTGTGGTTTTGTTTGGTGTGTTTTGTGGCGAGTTGGCGTGTGCGCGTGTGTGTGTGTGTGTGTGTTGGTCTGAGCGCGTCGATTGCGTTGCGGTTTGGGTTTGTGTCTGGGCGCTTAGCTCAAATGGTAGAGCGCCCGCTTCGCATGCGGGAGGTAGGGGGATCGATACCCCCAGTGTCCACTTTTTACGGCACACAACACTTTTTACGAACAAACACTTTTTACCGCCCCTCGCGCCGCTGCTTGCTTCCTAGCCTTCCTACCCCTGCTCACCCGCCACCCACAGCTCACCCGCCATCTGCGAGCGTGCTGGTGCCTACGTTTACAGACGACCCACCTTTTTTGTCGGCGAGTGTGGGGCAACCACGCCGACTGCCAGGCGCAGGATCCCACAAGAGTTTGGGCATGAGGGAGACCGGCTAAACAGCTCACCGAGAGCCTGGTCAGCGCCACAGACCAAACGCCCAGCTGTGTGCTGTGTGCTGTGTGCTCTGTGCTGTGTGTCACCTCTGTCCGGGCCACTGGCCGGTCGGACGAGTAGGGTTCGAGTCAGCCAGCTGCTTGACATTTTTGTTTTCGGAGGCGGGTGGCTCCCGGCCTGGCGGTTCGAGGCTTCGGGTATGTGAGGCAGTGGACCATGGCGGAGCGCGGAGAATCGACAAGGCGTGGATGCTGGCGCCTCACGGGTGCTAATGTGCTGGTGGAGAGGACGATCGTTGTAATGGGTGCGGAGGCTTGCTTGGCGATGTGTGGAGGGATGGCGCTGTGAGGCGGTTGTGTGTGGTTTTGTTTGGTGTGTTTTGTGGCGAGTTGGCGTGTGCGTGTGTGTGTGTGTGTGTGTGTTGGTCTGAGCGCGTCGATTGCGTTGCGGTTTGGGTTTGTGTCTGGGCGCTTAGCTCAAATGGTAGAGCGCCCGCTTCGCATGCGGGAGGTAGGGGGATCGATACCCCCAGTGTCCACTTTTTACGGCACACAACACTTTTTACGAACAAACACTTTTTACCGCCCCTCGCGCCGCTGCTTGCTTCCTAGCCTTCCTACCCCTGCTCACCCGCCACCCACAGCTCACCCGCCATCTGCGAGC